AGCATGACTTAATCTCGCTATAAGTATCATCAGTAGTGGAAATGAGAAAATCCACCCAATAAAGTGGGCCTCCCACTATAAGAATGTCCAGTCCATTCCCTCCATCACCCACAAAACATTTTAATTTGGCTCTTCAATGCTCAGAAGCGACTGAAGATCGAAATGGAGTGGATTGGAGGAAAAGATCAAGTTTTTACCATTTCAATAACTACCCTTTACACCATTTTGGCAGTTCTTGCTGGAGCTTTAGTGTATTTATACAGACCTTATTGGCTGGTAAGAAGGGTGCCAGGACCTCCAGCACTTCCCCTTGTAGGGCACCTTCCCTTGCTTGCCAAGTATGGCCCTGATCTTTTTTCTGCCCTCGCCAAACAGTATGGCCCCATATTCAGGTAATCCAAACTCGGTCTTGGTCTATGATCAGTCATCTTTCATTCCATATTAGGAAGAAAAGGGGTCTGTATAAGATTGTTGAAAAAGATTGTATCTTTTATAAAGGTTCCATATGGGGAGGCAGCCATTGGTGATCATAGCAGATGCAGAGCTTTGTAGAGAAGTTGGGATCAAGAAATTCAAATTCTTCACAAACAGAAGCATCCCCTCTCCCATCTCTGCTTCCCCTCTCCATCAGAAAGGCCTGTTTTTCACCAGGTCATTCAATCCACAGCTCTTACTTTTATTTCATTTTATTCTGTTTTTTGGTTTATGAGTACCTCGTTTTGGATATGGAACTAATCCTTGGGAATCAGTCCATATATCAATCACCACGTTTAAATCAAAAGTCTGTGAAGTGAATAAACTCCCCTGGTTTCCTGTTTCCTATTTCCTGAGAATTGAATAAGGATAACAGACCGGGTCGAGTTCCACCACGATCGGTTCGGGCCATGGGAAGGGAGAGACCTAGACCGTAACACGGTACGGGCGGTTTGGTTTTAGGTCAATTCCCGACCGATTCTCATTTTTTCCCGGACTGATGTTTAATTTAATACTCTCTCCGTCCCATAAAATAGTTCCCGCATTGACTTGGATCGAAGTTAAAGAAAGTGAGAATAAAGTGGAAATGTATGGTCGTGGTTGTGTAAGAAAAAGGTAAATGAATATGAGTCACACAAAACATTCCAAAAGGGGAAATGTGAACTATTTTTTGGGACGACCCAAAAAGGAAACCGGGAACTATTTTGCGGAACGGAGGAAGTAAAAAGCTTAATTCGGTCTAAATTTGAATGAATTGGACCGGTTCGGTTTAATAGGAGAAATTAAGTAGTGATAATTCGACAACTTGGACTAGTTCCACCCATTGTTTTAAAACTCGCTAGGCGCTAGTCGGGCGGTTGAGGGGCGCCTAGCGCCTAGGCGGCCGACTAGGCCGATTTTTTGGCCAACTAGGCCGATTTTTCGGCCGACTAGGCCGATTCGGCCTCTACGGTTAGGGCCGCCTAGGCCGATTAATCGGTCCGCCTAGGCCGATTTTTAGAACAATGGTTCCACCCATACTACCTAAAGTAGTAAATGTTTTGTAAATGATATTTTTGGGAAGTATTTGAAAATGAGATCGATATTTTGGCATGATAATAACTTTCATAAACTAAATTTAGATACAAATTAACTCATATATTAGGGTATGGTTGTACACATTCCGATTTCGTACTGATATCTATCCCAGACCGGATCCTATATTTCCAATGGTCTGGTTCCACCTCGAATATTATCTGACCAATGTGGTTGATATGGATAGGAAATAAGGAATTTTGGGTTCTTCTCCCGTACGTTGATCTTTCCCAACTCCACTATGACGTAAATTTGGGACCAGGAACCTTTTGAAAATCGTATACATTATGGAGCATTTTATTCCCTTTAGGCTCTGTTTGCAAACACAACTAAAAAAGCACTTCCCAGCTTTTGACTTAAAAAAGCTAAAAAAGATGTTTTCAAATGACAACTTCTACTTAAATGAATTACTTAAAAGCTAAAAGTTAGAATCTGCTTTTTACTTTTTCTATTACACAAAAAGCACTTATTTTACCAAACACCACCAACTTTTACTTTTCAAAATCACTTTTTTCTCAAACACTACCAACTTTTACTATTAATCACTTTTTTACCAAATCATTTAAAAAAGTTAAAAGCACTTTTCAATTGGGTTTGCAAACAGAGCCTTAAGCTTATAGAAGTCAAACTACCACTGAAGTTCGGTCGGATTGTTTGAAGGCGATAACTATATTTATCTAGGTGTCATTTTAGTTCACCTCATTTTATTTGTAAATATAAGAAAAGAATTTAGGTTTTCAGATAACCTAGGTTTGAATTGGATATGCAAAACATCTAATAACTTCGTTTTGGAAAATCTCTGAGTCCAAAGTTTTTGAAGGATATACTTATCGTTGTAATTTTAACAAGTTCATAGATGCATTAGAGCTTAACTTTCATCCAAGCAAACTGTTAGTTCAAATTTTAGGTTAACCTAATAACTAATCAAACAACATTCCCCTACATATGCACTTGATTCCGTTCCATTGATTTTTACTGAATCTAGTTTTACTACCATTCAACAAGTTTACTTAAATTCACTATGCATAAAAGAACCATAAATGGAAACCTGCAGGGATGCAAGATGGTCAGCAATGAGAAACACACTAGTGTCAATCTACCAGCCATCTCACCTGGCCAAGCTGGTCCCAACAATGCAATCATTCATCGAATCCGCAACTCAGGATCTTGATTCTAAAGGGGACGACTTCACCTTCTCTAACCTCTCCCTCAAATTAGCCACCGATGTTATCGGGCAGGCTGCATTCGGAGTTGACTTTGGTCTGTCCAAACCCCCGAAAGAGGACAAAGAGTCGCTTGACAATGGAATCCAAGAATTCCTCAACCAGCATATATACTCCACAACACAGCTCAAGATGGACTTGTCTGGCTCCTTCTCCATCATCTTGGGTCTAATCGTCCCCATTCTCCAGGAACCGTTTCGGCAAATCCTCAAGAGGATCCCCGGAACAATGGACTGGAAAGTGGAGAAAACAAACAAGGACCTTAGCAGGCGTCTTGACGACATTGTTGCAAAGAGAAGGGGAGAAAAGGAGCGTGGGACGAAGGACTTGTTGTCCCTTATCCTGAGTGAGGTGGAGTCCGAGAAAGTGGCAAAGAATGTGTTTACCTCTGATTATATTAGTGCAGTGACTTATGAGCACTTATTGGCTGGTTCTGCAACGACTTCTTTTACATTGTCTTCAATTGTCTATCTGGTTTCTGGTCATCCACTGGTTGAAAAAAAATTAGTCGAAGAGGTAGATGGGTTTCCAGCTGATCAGGTGCCGAGCGCCCATGATCTTCAAACAAAATTTCCATATATTGATCAGGCAAATCTCTACCTCCTGGTTTTTGTTGTATAGCTATATCCATTTAATTAGGCTTAACTAGCCCATCTAAAAAGATCTTCTAAAGAGATGAGATTTAGTCATACTGAAACATTAGACATAATATGATAAACACCCCATATGACACTTTAAGGATGTTTTTACTTGGACTGTAATTTGTCCCAGACCAGACCAGACCAGTCCAGACCAGACCAGATCAGTTCAGACCAGACCAGACCAGACTTGGATAGTTATAAAAATACAAAGAAACCAGACCTTACCAGACCAGACCAGACCAGTTCAGACCAGACCAAATCAGACCAGACCAGCAAATTACAGTCCAAGTAAAAACATCCTTAAAAGGATTCATCCATATTTCAATATTCTTTTCAAGGGAAGACCCCACATCAAATTGAAGCCGTTAAAGAGAATATGAGTTCATTAATCTCAAATGAGTCCAGGGGTTTTGCAAGATTTATTGTGTTTGGAGACACAAATTGGCTAATTTAGCTTATCAACAAGAGAATCATTTGATTTACTTATTTGGTTGAATCTATTTTTTTAAAATAATTTTTCTTCGAAAAACTCACCAGCTTCCACAATTTCAGCCAATTTACCTTTACAAAACACTCTTACAGTGAGGAATATTAACACAAAAAATCATGTTTCCACTCACAATACATTTGGGATTTAGGTGAGGAAGATTGTAATACGGGTGACTTCTGTTTGGCTGCAGGTAATTAAAGAGGCAATGAGATTCTACACAGTTTCGCCACTAGTTGCAAGAGAGACATCAGCACCAGTAGAGATTGGAGGCTACAGCCTCCCAAAGGTATTCCCAACTCCACCTCCCCAAATTCTAAATGTTCATTTCGATTTTGCATTCACATTTAAATAATTAATATTTAGCATGCTTCCTAATAGGTTCTGTTTAATCAATGGGCAGGGGGCATGGGTATGGCTAGCTCTTGGAGTTCTGGCTAAAGATCCCAAGAACTTTCCAGAACCCGAGAAGTTCAAGCCAGAGAGATTCGATCCAAGCTGTGAAGAAGAAAAAGGAAGACATCCATATGCACACATTCCTTTCGGAATAGGGCCAAGAGGATGTTTAGGACAGAAGTTCTCCTTACAAGAAATCAAACTCGCCCTCATCCATTTATACAAAAAGTACATATTTCGACGCTCCCCCCTAATGGATGGCCCTCTGGAGATGCAGTACAGCATAGTTTTAAACTTCAAGCACGGCGTCAAGATCCAAGCCATCCGGCGTACATGAAAGAAAGCATGACTTAAAGATCTGCAACCTACTTTTTTTTCTTTATACGACTCTAATGTAATGCAGCAGAAAAATGGATCATATTATGCAGGAATAAATAAAACTCATAATTTTACAAAGATGAAAAATCTTAGATCACATTTCTAATGTCTCACATCAAACGGATTCATATTCGATTACAAGTGGGGAAGAATTTCACTCACTTAGAGAATTTATCCATTCGAGTAGGTAGACAGAAGGGCCTAGACAAATTTGCAGACGAAAGATCAGAACCTGCGTTACTGAAATCGCCAGATTTATGAAGGTTACGAAACTGAAACTCATCCATGGACTGTCTAAGGAATCTGCTATTTCTCTGCTTCGCCTTAGTTGACTGAGTCAAGCTCATATAATTCGGCATACGGCTGTTCTTCTCCACCGATCTATCCGCTGAGTTCCCTGAGATTTGAGTTGTGGATGTGCAGAGTGAAGAAGAAGCGGAGCTCTCGACGTGGCTCTCGTCATATCGGAATTCAGAACTAGGGCTGGAAGATGAACGTTTGGCTGAAATCCGTTTGGTTACGTTGTTCTTTCTGACTTTAACAGAGAATGGTTCAAAATGATTTTCCTTGGCGGAAGAATTGACGAAGCAAGTCTTCTTGGAGTTTGGAGTTGTTTCTACTGGGTCAGTTTGGGTTTGAGTTTGCTCCATCAGTCTGTTCTCCCATGGCCTTGCAGCCATCCATCGTTCCAGCCAGCTCCAGCTGTTCTTGTCCAAATTGTAAGTCTTTAAAGAGGGAAAGGAGATAGTCGTTTGGGAGTCTAAGTTCTGGACCAGCCTCTCCTACACCAATAAAATATAAAATATTAATACTTCCAATAAATTTTCAATTTATAATTATTATTAGGATTTATTTCAAAAAAATATTATTAGGATGAATTATTAATTGTTGGAATACAAAACATGAAAATTGAGATACCCTTGATAGCTAAGACTTTGGTGGGTGTTGTTTGAAACTAATTTGGTTGGAGAATGGAGCTAAAGATTATGGAAATGGATCCTATGTTTTATGGCAGAGTGCCTGGCACGAATCCAAGTGTTGGAAGGAGAGAAGAAGAGCTTTGGGGTGTATGAAAAATGGATTTGATGGTCAAAAATGGTCATGCACTCTACCTGACTACCAAATCCATGTACAGATTCCGAATAGAAAGATTAAATGAAAAAAGTAGCCCTAGATTTCATGGTTTGGTTATTTTCAAATGACTTGATGTGTATGAAGTTATAGGGGAAAATGAATTAGAGTGAGGGTACACACTTTTTGTACACATTTTGTGTCACTAACCAATTCATTAAGAAGTAGCCTTGTAGACAACTGGGGGTGTACGCAAAATGTGTACAAAAATGTGTACCAACCGCTTTTTCCATGAGGTTATATTGGTGTAAATGACCTTGTTTTTTAGCTAAACGGGGTAACGCACATTTGAGTTGTCAATGTACATTGGAATGTCCTTTTTATTAGGTAATTAGTCAAATTTAGGAGGATGACTTGAATGTGATGAAATGAAAACTTAGGGGTAAAAGGAAATCGTCTCATTGAGTAGTACCTTCTGAACTAGGGAGTAGACAAGTGCCCTCTCTCGTTTACAAGCTCCCTCTTGCCTCATTTGTATCTTGGCCTTCACTTCTTCAAGTGTTCCTCTACTGTTACACCATCCCTCCTGCCATTTCCATACCAGTTTCAAACCATTCATAACATGAAGTTTTGAAAGGAAAATTGCACATCTGTAATTAAAAACCTACGCCCATATACATTTTGCATTGTTTTTAGGGATAACTTGAGTTTGCATCCTATTTTATTGTTCAGATTCGACTTTGCACCCCGTTTTTTAAAATCGTTGTTTTTGTACCCCAACCCCGTATGAAAAGACAAAATGCTCATTCATTAACAATTTTGTTGGTCTTCAACATATTCCTAATTGAGGAGCATTTTTTTCTTTTCATTCGGAGTTAGAGTGCACAAACAAAGATCTTTAAAAATGGGGTGCAAAGTCCAATTTAGATAATAACATGGAATCCAAACTCAAATTATCCCATGTATTTGACTATTGAAACTAAAAAGGGACGACTAATGTGGCATAATATAGAGGGAGTGGTTATTCGTAATGGCTTCAAAAATTGGATTAAGTGACCAATAATATACTCTTAAACATCTCCATATTACATGGGACCACCATTTTAACTTATTAATCAGAGGTCAGCGACTTACTGCCCCTTACTGTTAGTATGTGAGTCACTCAGACTGATTTGTGACCATGGTCACTGAGACGATTATTGTCACTGTTAGATCAATTAGTGAGCCCACTACAAAAGTCAATAATTGGAGGTAGGTGGTTACTGGTTAGGGAATTCTGTGGTTTGGTTTGAAACCTTGAATATGGAGAAATTAGTTGGCAATTTACAGGCTTTCTTTATGTAGGACGAATAAGTAATTAAGGTTGAGTAGTAACTAGTGGTCCTTGAATAGTCCTCCTACATGTGTACATTTTTTTGAATTTAAATATGGAATGGCTAACTATATTATATACCTCAGCCTGTTTCAAGCAGTCGACCTTGCCGCGGTGCTCTTCGATCACCTTCTGCACAGCCTGCCCCTCCATGGACATACGAACACGACGAGCTCTAACCCGGGCTTGCACCCGAACCAATGCCTGCATGCACCGAAGCGTGACCGCGGCTTGCTTCCTCACCTGCCGCCCTCGCACCAAGGCTTGAAGCCTCACCAATCCTCTCAATGCCCTCAATGCTCTCCTTGCCTACATTGTACCATTCATTAATTAATGGAACAGTATTAGTAGATTTGGCAAAAGTTGTCTTCCATTTATTAAGAGTTGCCATTGGGGCGTTCTGGTCTTGTTCACAGTTCACACTGAAATAAACCGAACTGATCAATAGTAAAACTGAATTATAAGTTATTCGGTTTTAGTTGAGTAATATCCTTCAGAAAATCCAAACTGAATTGAGACCAAACAAATCAAACCAGATAAAAAGTTATCATCATCTTCATATATTTTTTAAAATAACAAATCCAAATGGTCCAAATGAAACGTAGTATAGTTTGAAAGTGTTGTTTCTCACAAACCGAACTGAAAATCGAGAAAAACTGAACAAACATAAATGCTCTCTTTGTCTTATAACACAAAGCCATATGTGCGAGTTTTATCATTTTGTTAAGTCAAGTAAGAACAAATATTTAGTTTTAGATGTATTTTTTGTTTTACCAAGTTCACTAATAGCAATCTACAAACATCAGCATTATGAGATAGGTTTTTTAGGGAGTGTTTGGGTAGATATTTGAGGATGATTTTTTAGGGTGTCATGAGAATTTACCAAGAACCCACGAAAAGCAGTTTGAATCCTAATGGCAGCCCATTCTTGCCTCACAGCCTTGAAGTCCTTGGGGGCAGCTCTAACAACAGTGGCCATGGCAGCCGTGAAAGCATCACTGTTCACTGTTGAAGAAACTGACCCTTCGTACATCCGGTGGTACCCTTTCAATCCCTTCAATGAAGAACCACCACCAGCTTGATCTGCTGGTGGGCCCCTCCATATCTTCCATTTCTTGCTCTTCCCAGGCATCTTCTCCTATAAAGAAACGCCTCAATCAGTCACAGAAAAGTTATGGTGGAAAAAGATTCGATTTTTACCAGGCCTATACATTATTTACCACACAATGTTAAAAGCATTGAGGGTTTTAGCAGAGATTTGAGAACTCACATGGTGGTCATCTTTTTCAGGTTTCTTGAAGCTTATCAAAGCTTTCACCCATTTCCCAGAAGCACCCATTCAAACTAGCTAGCTCAACAAAGATTCTGAAATCTGAATAGATTTTAACTATGAAGAAGTGTGTATTAAAAGCTGAATCTTGCAGACAGGGTACAGGATGCAGAACTGCGAGAGAAAATGGAAGCGGACCTTAAAATCTTAAATGCAACTAATCTACAGTAAGAAACAACGCACTGGAAATTGAAATGGCATTGAATGCAAAAATAGCAGCGAGAGAGATAAAGAGAGGAGGGAAAGAGAGAGCTTTATCATTCAGCTTGAACAGAAAGGGTCATATCAAATCCAAGAAAAGGGAAATGAAAGGACTTGAAAATTTAGAAAGAGGTTTAACCAAAAAGAGCATGGGGGTTTTCTCGGGTAGAAAGGGGTGGTGTGGAGTGGACTGGTGGGTGTAGTGGAGGCTATTGGTACTGTTTGAAAGAAACTGCATTGCCCAATGTGTGTGCAGTTGACAGTTGTGTTCCTGCATTTTTTTGAAATTCAAACAAAACACAACGAATACAGTTTGTCGTGTCTGGGTTTAACATTTTCTTTTCTGGTAAAAAATCTTTGTTTAACATATGAATTGGCTTTGGAGGCTACTATTTTGAATACTTCATTACTTCCCCTCCCTTGTGCGTGGTGTAGTTCAATCTTCAAAGAGGTAACAAGTAAATCTTGTTATTCGAAACCTTGCAACCGTAAACACATGAGGTCGGAATTCACTGTGCTTTTTTTTTACTGCCCCGGTTTTTATTAAACTTCACACTTTGACTTCACACAAAATAAGGAAAGAAATTTGACGTTACTGTAGAGTACACTGTTGAGACACTGTTTGACACTATTTGGCACTGTTGAGACACTGTTTGGCACTGTTGAGACACTGTTTGGCACTGTTTAACACTGTTTTGATGTAGATTTCTTTGCCAAAAAAGGAAATAAGGAAGTGTGAAATTTATTTTAGACCGTCCCAAAAAGGAAAGTGTGAAGTTTATTAAAAACCGGAGGGAGTATAAATATTGACCGTGTCAATTCTACACAAATTTGGGTCTGAGTAAAACTTTAAAAAAGCCCCCCTATATGTAGTATTTGTTTAAAATACAACACATTAGGAAATAAAGATTACTACCACAAAAAGTTATGTACTTAAATAATTTTTTTACGTTATTCGGATTTATTAAAACAACTAATTGAGTACAACTTGTTGAACAATTTTAGTTCCAAAAGTAATAAACAATTAGGCATAATATAGGTTTTTAATAAGTTCCATCTCAATTGATAACATAGCTCATCCATTCAACCTTTTTAGACCTGTTTGATCGTAAAAATGTTTGTAGGTTTCAGTTTTGAAAATTTTCTTTCTATACTTGCTACTGTCACGAATATAGTCAACAAGATTTTATATACGATGCATGCATTATGAAAGCACCAATCCACCATTTTCAAATAATTCATCACACCGATCGCAGATTTTATTTCCTCTGGTGAAGAATCCTTCAAACAATGAAGAATTTTACATTTTCTGTCTTTTTATTCTTCTCAAAGTTTTTTTATACTTTTTCTCAATTCTCAAATAGAGAAATTTCATGCTGGAAAAAAAATAGAGAAATTTCATCAAGGCAAAGGCCCAGCTTGACTATTTTGTAAAACAAGTAAGAATCAACTTTCTTTTTATTTTTAAATAGCATTTTTAATATAAATACTCTATATCCCGATCAATAAGAGAAGAATTAGTCAATAATTATAGCAATTAGAAAATAGAAATTAATAAATTGGTTCATTCTATCATTCAAAAATCAATAGTTCATCAAATTAGCAAATCAAAACAAAACCTAATTTTTTCTGGAATTAACATATCAACGAGTTCAGGAGTTGGAGGTTGTACTTCACTATGTGGTTAAACACTCTATTGTTCCACCGATTTTGTTACTCTTGTAGTACATGATTTAAGCCAGACGACTAACATAGTCTCTGTATTTTTATTTTTGAACACACATTTATAATACGAGTACATAGATAGTTCAATTTTGGGCCCCTAATTTTTTTATTTTTTGGGGCCCTGAGGCCTATGCCTCTCTAGCCTAACGGAAGGCACAACTCTGAGTATGGAAAAATAAACAAGAGTTAAAACCATTGTTCTAAAAGGCGTGAGCGCGGCAATGCTTTGAGGCAAAGCCTCAAGCCTTTGAAGCCTGCCTAAGCAAAATAGGCGAAGTCTAGATGTGAAAAGACGTTTTAGATTTCTATTGGTAATTATAATTTTATTATATATTAAACAAGATTGAGCCTAATTTTTAATTTGTTCAATATATATAATTTTAAAATTTATAAAAGGTGCAAATACAAAATGATACGGAGTATATTGTTGCTTTATACTCGTACTACTTCGCACTAGATTCCATATATAACATGTTTATAAAAGTATTTTTTCCTTAAATTAAGTAGTTTTTCTTTTCAAAAAATGTTTTATTTAGAAAACTTCCGCCATTTCACGTCTAGGCTTATGTCTTTTCACGCCTTTGATGGTCAACTCTTCAATTGACCGTCTTTTTCCACGCCTTTCTACTATGTGGAGGGTTTTTCCGTTGTCTCATGTCTAGCCCTGCCTTTTGCCGCCTTTTAGAGCATTGATTAAAACCACACATATATTACTAAATATGATATGTCATGAACTTAGTGGAATGGACAAAAAATGAGACAATCATCCGGGGCAGAGGGAGTAATACTTATTTAGATTTTGGAGAAATGTCAATGGATAAAATAGTGGAGAACACTTCACTTCAGTCAAAATACAAAAAATAGAATTGAGTATGTAATGCGTACAAAGCGTGGAATGATCTCTTTGTTTTTACTGCTAACGGGATAATTATGGTTTTTTATATGTACCTCTCTTACCCGCCATCGTCCCTTTATTTTATGTTAGAGCATCTTTCGTGGTTAGCTAATTGCCCTTATGTCTTGACTTGCCACATAAGCATTTCTAGTACAATTATTTTCATAGTTAAATGTATTTTAACTAAGAAAAATCCTTTGATGAGGCCGAGATTGGACCAAATTATCCTTGTAGGGGTTTGCGTCAAGGGGACCTCTTATCTTCCTATTTGCTTATTTTGGTTGCGGAGGGTCTTATTGCTATTCTTTGGGAGAATGAAAGGATGGGGCATATCCATGGGGTGGCCGTTGCTAATCTAGGGGAGCATGAAAGGATGGGACATATCTCATTTTCTCATTGCAAATGACATTCTTCTCTTCTTTCAAGCAAATCATGATGTGGCGTCGGTGATCAAGGAAATTCTTTTTTATTATGAGTTAGTTTCAGGTCAGGTGGTTAATTTTCATAAAATCTAAAAAAAATAGCTCTAATGTTACCTTAAACTGCAGGGAGGGGTTGGTGGAATTATTAAAGGTGGGGCCGGTGGAGGTAGGGGAGAAATATTTGGGGCTGTTTTCATTGTTTGGGACAAAAAAGCAGGAGATTTTAAATTATCTGAGACAACAGGTTGTAAGGAGAATTCAGATATGGAGTGACTAAATTGACTGAATTCGTTGTGTTGCAACAAAAATTTAAATATTTTTGAATTAATAAAATATAAAAAAAAATTATATGCAAAATAGCTAAAATGACCATCCATAGTAGGTTTAATATAATAAGTTCAATCTTATTTAGTTTGATTGTTACAAAATTTAGTACGAAAAAACAAATGTTATATGTTTTGTATAAAAAATGATTGATAAAGCTCATAATCTGAAAGTGGGAATTACCAAACGAGTTCTCAATATATCTTATCCATGATGCCTTAATAATGGGCCTTGAAATCCATTGTATGGAAATGTACTATCGACCAATTTATATGCTACCCCGTATGGAAACGATTTCTCAATTCTCCATTGATGACTCTCTACCATCGACTTTGATCATTAAATGCGTGTCTTATTTTCATTTTTATTGTGATTCCAAGTAAAAGAAACTACTTACAGTCTTACATCCAAAATCAAGTAAAAGAAACTATTTGTTCTAAATAAATTTTAATCATTAATGAACGAATTGAAAATAAGTTTGATGATGTATTTAGGAAGTGTTCATTTGTGTATTAATCTAATGTATATCATAAACACAACATAATTTACATTTCTCGAAAAAATAATCTAAATAAAACAAACTTAACCATAAGAATCAATACAAATCAAAACATGATAAGAACAATTAATTAACCAATTTTTTGTCTCAATTTTTTGTAGATATAAATGTTGGGAAGCTTAGAAAGAGATGTACTCATGATTAAAATAAAAGGTTTAAAGAGATAAAGGGAACATCAAACTTGCGATAGATGACAATCCTTGAAGCTTTGTTGCTAATCTTGAATTTAATCTTGGATGAGAAAGTGATTAGTTGTGGTAGAAGATTGGTTGATGATTTGGATGAGAGATATGAAGAGAAGAGGGAGAGGAAATAGTTCTGGGATGAGTAGAGAGAGATTGGTTCGAAGTTATGTGTGGAAGAAGAATGATTAAGGTCATATAATGAGAAGGCAGAGGTAATAGTTCTGGGATGAGTAGAGAGAGATTGGTTCGAAGTTATATGTGGAAGAAGAATGATTAAGGTCATATAATGAGAAGGGGGAGAAAATAGTTATTGGATATGTAAAGAGAGTTTGATTCGAAGTTATGTGTTGTTGTTGTAATGAACAAATTTCCTACTAATGTTCATGTCTCTATGGTTACCATCTAAACTACAAGTAGGTAATCAACATTGAACAGGACGCAAATACACTTAATTTTAATTATATTAATCGACATATTGCAATGTTGTTATTCTTATAGTTTTCAAGCATAAAAGAAACTTTAAAATCCAAACTCTTGTCTTCGTTCATAAATTTTTTTCATTTAGTACTCTCCTTTGTTTGTCTGTCTCAATTTTTGGGTTCTTATTGTTGGGATTGGAAAATTCTTCTATTCAATATCAAGAACAGAATTACAATAGGAGGAGCAAACTCTCACACTCAACTATTACAAAAAACCAATCCTCACCAATACACTTCTACTCTAAGTGTATTTCACTCTTCACACACTTTTCTCACTTTCTAAACTGATGATATGAACAACAATAGAACACTCTATTTATAGGCTAGGTTGGAGACAAGAGGAAGTTGCATCCAAGCTTCCTAGTTATCTCAATATCTCCTTCCATGTTCATGTGTTTGATAGCTCCTTCCTAGAAGGTGTTATATGTCTCTTGGCAACTTCCAAGAAAGAAGGTGGAAGATACCTACAAATCTCCCCCTCCACCTTTTTCTTTATTTCTCTCATTCCTGCAATGCTCGCAGGCTCCCCCTCGCTAACAAGTATCCATTCGGATGTGGAATACTTTCTCGGTGGAACTATGCCTCGCGTAGAACGTCGAACATGAGTACCTTCAGCTTCGTCTTCAGATGAAGGCTCCCCCTGCTGAGGAATATCATCACTGTGAGTATCATCATCACCTACTGAACCATCACTCTCTTGTTCAGTAGTATCATGCATCTCCTCGTCGCTGAGAGGAATGTTTGATGATACAGGCACTTCGTCTTCTGGAGTATGTTGTTGGCGGATTATTGGAACACACCCATGAAACTCGTTTTCATGAAATACAACATCTCTGCTTCG